TTCAGATATAGCGGATCCTTAAAGCATAATGGAATCTAATCTTCATATCCTCCCTTGAGCATGATTACTGATTATTAAATTAAATAAACTACACCTAGAGATTTATAGAGTTCGTTGTCTTGATTAAGAAAAAGAGATACATTCACTCATCTACTCCAGAAAACACATAGAACACAATAATTTCACACACCATAAAAATCAATTTAAGCAACAACCCACATCTATCCATGAATGAATATAGAAGTATATGAATTCCAGAAAGAATAGAGTGAAACATGACTAAAAAGGGTTGGCCCGATCACCATAAAAAATAATCATGAAAATACCTGTTTTGATTGCTTGATCTTTGGACTTGACAAATTGAATCTGTTTCTTGACTTCATCTAATTTGGCCTCAGGCTTTTTTAGAAATTCTTCCAGATTCAAAGCCCTAGATTTAACCTCTTCATCACCACCCGAAACCCGCTTCTTGTTATAACCCTGATCATCATATTGCTGCTTTCCCTTGTTATTAAGAGACCTATTTTGGTACAAATCGATCACCTCCCGCACATTGCTACGATTCTCGAGCCAAGAATCAATTTACTCATCGAGGCCTAAAATCACGGCTCAAGCATTCACGTCACACAAAACTGATAATTCCATTTTGTTTTCCTTTATGCATTCTTTTCTCTTCAATAATGCATTTTTCTTGGCCATTAACACATCATTCTTGAAAGTTCTTGTTTCGGTCCTGGAATGATTGTCCATTCCACCACTAGTGATCTTTCTTGGATGTAAAGTGTTTATATTACGAGAAAATAAAATTGAAATCGAGAGAAATCAAGATGAGACGGTACGGTAGTAATGTAATTGAAACAGAGAGAATCAAAAGACCTTGGGTTCAAAGGTGGGAACTACAATTAGTAGTTGTGCGTTCTAGGGCTTCCTTTTACAAGGAGAAAAAAGAATCATTGGGAAAGAGGCGAAAATTGAGGGGCGAGCAGGCGGTAATTACCAATAGTGTACGTAAATTTTTGAATTTTAATTGTTGGGGAGTAAAGTTGCAATTTCTTTCATATCAAAATTGGCTTTGTTTTGCCCCCATTCTTTAAAAAACTATTTTTTCCAAACTCATTTTTAATCTCATTCTTCCAATAAAATAATCTTTCACATAACTTAAAAATCTTCATACTTTTGAACCATACATTCTTTAAAAAATCATTATTATAAACTTTATTTTCATAAAAATGGCCTCAAACCCGCTCCGGGAAAATTCTCCTTATAATTATTGTTTAATGAAATAATATTGATTAATTAGGAAAATCAGTTAGCTATTTTGCAATTAAGTAATCAAGATTGGAATTTGATTACACACACACAAAAGATAGTGAAACATGTGAGAATACGGTAGAAGAAGGAAGATTTTGGTAGAAAAGTTTGGCATATATTTTAGTGTGATTAAGCCAAACAAACAGGTTTAGTGACAAGAGCCTGTTGTAGTTTCAGTCCATGATTGACAATGTTTTGTATCTTTTTATACTTTTAATGAGAATTCGCAAGTGCCTGTCCGTTTAAAAATTTGTTATTGAGCATGTTTGACTGATTTTGAA